GTTATGGATGAGGATATCCCAAAGACAGCGTTTCATACATGATATGGATACTATGAGTTCCTTGTTATGCCTTTTGGCTTGACTAATACGCCAGCGGCATTCATAGACTTAATGAACCGCGTCTTTGACGATTACTTAGACCAATTTATGGTGAATCGCATCTTTCACGATTACTTGGACCAGTTTGTGGTAGTTTTCATAGATGACATTCTCATGTATTCACAATCTTGGGAGGAGCACGAGGTCCATTGGAGTATTGTTTTACATATTTTGCGGGAGCATCAATTGTATGCCAAATATGAGAAATGTGAGTTTTGGCTATATGAGGTGAAATTTTTGGGCATGTTGTTTCAGAAGGTGGAGTGTCAGTAGATCCATCAAAGTTTGAAGCAGTTTTGAATTAAGAGCAACCCAAGAATGTTTTTGAGATTCGGAGTTTTCTTGGCCTAGCGGGTTACTATCGGAGATTTGTGAAGGATTTCTCCCGTTTGGCAGTGCCTATGACCCGTTTGACCCGGAAAGGGATTAAGTTTGTGTGGAATGAAGCCTGTGAGCCATTTTTTCAGGAGTTGAAGACAAGATTGACTACAGCTCCAGTGTTGGTGATACCTGAGCGTGGCTTGGGTTATGTGATTTATTGTGATGCTTCATGTGGTGGTTTGGGATGTGTGTTGATGCAGGATGGTAGAGTAATGGCTTATGGGTCTCGACAGTTAAAAACTCATGAGCTTAACTACCCTACTCATGATTTGGAGTTAGCGGCAGTCGTATTTGCCTTGAAGTGTTGGAGACACTACTTGTATAGTGAAAGGTTTAAAGTGTTTTCAGACCACAAAAGTCTTTAGTACCTTTTCTCTCAAAAGGACTTAAACAACAGACAGAGAAGATGAGTTGAGTTCTTGGAGGACTATAATTTTGACTTGTAGTATCATCCGGGCAAAGCAAATGTGGTAACAGATGCCTTAAGCCAGAAATCTCGTGGAACTCTGGCCTGTTTGGCTATTCGAAAATGGAAAATGCTTAAGGATTCGGCAAAGATGGGATTGTATTGTTTTGATGACGATGTTGACAGTAAGACAGCATTCTTGTTTAGTCTTATGGCTCAGCCTACTCTTGTTGTACGAGTGATTGAGTCACAGAGACAAGACCCAGATTTAGATTCCATTCACGCTTTGATCTCCAGTGGTGAGACAGTAAAAATTGGACCTTGTATATAGATAGGGGTCTACGGTTCAGGGGTTTGTTGGTGGTTCCCACGGTTTGTCGTGAGGACGTCTTATGGGAGTTTCACACTTCCTGTTTTGCAGTTCATCTAGGTGGTACCGAAATGTATCACAATTTAAGACGTCAGTATTGGTGGAACGGGATGAAGAAAGATGTTGCTCAGTTTGTGGCTAAGTGCCTTACCTGTCAGGAGGTAAAGGCCGAGCATCAGAGACCCGCTGGTTTGTTGCAACCATTGCCTGTAGCGCAGTGGAAATAGGAACATATTGCTATGGATTTTGTGACTGGTCTTCCAAGGTCACGGAGGGGCAATGAAACCGTATGGGTCATCGTTGACAGATTGACCAAGACAGCTCACTTTTTGCCTATTAAGGCAATAGACGATGCAGAGAAGCTTGGTGTACTTTATGTGAATGAGATTGTAAGGTTGCATGGAGTTCAGTAACCATTGTCTCAGATAGGGATGCCAAGTTCACTTCGAAGTTCTGGGAAGGACTTCAAACAGCGTTTGGTTCAGCGTTGCATCTTAGTACGACATTCCATCCATAGACAGACGGCCAGTCGGAGCGTACTATTTAGATCTTGGACGATATGCTTCGGGCATATGTGCTTGACTTGGGTGGTAGTTAGGAAGATCATCTATCGCTTATTGAGTTTGCCTACAACAACAGTTATCAAGCGAGCATCCAGATGGCTTCATTTGAGGCGTTGTATGGTAGACCTTGTAGGTCTCCTATTTGTTGGACTGAGGTAGGTGAGACCACCTCCTTAGGACCCAACATAGTACTCGAGACTACTGAAAAGATTAAGCTGATCAAACAGAGGTTACTTACAGCTTAGAGCCGACAGAAGAGTTATATGGATAAGCGGAGATGGTCATTATCCTTTGAGGTGGGAGACCACGTTTATTTTTGGGTTTCTCCACGGAAGGGGTTGTTAAGGTTTGGGAAGAGTGGCAAGTTATCGCCACGATTCATAGGACCTTTTGAGATTTTGGACCGCGTAGGAGAGGTTGCCTACAGACTTGCTTTGCCACCACAGATGGACAGAGTCCACAATGTCTTCCATGTATCGATACTACGGAAGTATGAGTCGGATCCATCTCACATTTTGAGTTGGGTTGATGTGGACATTAATGAGGATATTTCCTATATAGAGGGACCAATTCAGATCCTTGACACACAATAGAAGGTATTGAGGAACAAGACGATACCAACGGTGAAAGTTCTTTGAAGACACCACGGAGTTGAGGAGGCTACTTGGGAGCTCGAACAAGAGGCTCGCTTCAAGTACCAAGCGTTGTTTTCTTCCTCAGGTGTGTCTTGATTTCGGGGACGAAATCTTTTTAAGTTGGGGAGATTGTAATGGTCTGATTTAATATATATAGATATGCATAGATATGTGGTGTAAGTTCAAAACAAAAAAAAAAAAAAAAAAAAAAAAAAAAAAAAAAAAAAAGAAAGAGAAAAGAAAATTCAAAAAAATAGGTGGGACCCACTAATGGTTTAACTGGTCATAAGACCACGTTTGTTTTAGCTCTCTGTAATCACATTCCCTCTCTCCCATCTCTGTCTCTATGTCTTCCTCTCAGCTCTTTGCTTTTTTTTTCTTTTTCTTTTTTTCCAAATTCAAGGCTTGATTTCTCCCTCATTTCTTAGTGTTTTTAAGTGTCGTTTGTGGCAAAACGGAGAGCACGGCGAGCTCTACACGTGTGTACCAGCAATTTCAGTTTTGAGCAACCTAGGGAGTCCGAAAATTAAGACCCATTTTGAGGGTTTGAGGTGAAAATTAGGGGTTTTGCTTAAAAGTGAGGTAGGGGTCTCTAATCCATATATATTCTTGTGCCTTAGTGAGTATAATTATTGTTATTTGTTGTTTATTATGCTAGATTGAGTTGATTTTGTTTTAAGGTGACTAAACCTTGAAATTTGAGTATGTGGATATGTGTTAAATTTATGTTATGTGTGAAAAGCATGATCTGTGTGTTATTTTCCCTAGCCGATAATGTTGTTAACTTGCTAAAATTGTTGTATGAAAGCATGTTATGTATTCTTAGAAATTCTTAGAAGGTGTAATGTGAGATTAAATTTTTAATTTGTTGCAGAATGATGAATTACATGGCATGAAGCATTCATGCATAGCATTGAGAAAAAAAAGGAAACAAATTACTTTGAAATGAAAAAGAGAAATTTTAGGAAAGAAGTTTTGATTAAAGTGTTTTATGTAAACCCGGTCGCCGCGGGGGTACCAAAGGGCCGGAGTGTTAATATAGCCTAGAAGGAACTAGGGATATTGCCCTAGAGTGGTTGAGCTAGCTGGGCCCAAAATGACACCGCGGGGTTACCAAGGGTCAAGGACACTAGCCAATCGTTTTCTCGTATCGCTGCGGGGTCACCAAAGGGCGGATTATATTAACAGTTTGAAAGTGATGGTTTTGAATATTGAAAATGGGGAGTGACATCGGCATGCATTGCATTCCATAGCATCATATTGTTTATGTTGAGATTGGTTATTATGTTGTGCTTTCCAGACATGGCATAACCCCGCCCCCTATTGTTCAATTCTTTGTTTAGATTCACGAGGACACAAAAGGTGTGTCTTAGGCACCACCTACTGAGTAATTTTGCTCACCCCTTTTATTTAACATTTTTTTTCAGGAAAAGGGAAAGAAGTGGCGGATAACATTCTACCAGAGACTTAGTATGGATTAGGAGCTTATTTTGTTGTTTTTGTACTTGAGTCTCACTATTTTTGTAAGACTAAACATAATGTATTTTGTACGATGACTTATGGACATTTGATATTAATCTTGTATTTTGGGACTGTAATTATGATATTTGGATGATATAGTATGTGATTGTACCACCATGGAATGTATTATATGTTTATTGTGTTGGGACAAGTTAAAAATAGATTTAAACAGGTTATTATAGGACGATTTTTAGCAAAGGTCATGCCGAAATTTTTTATTTATTTATTTTGGCATCATTTAGGGTCGTTACAGCTCCACGTCAGATTCGGATGGAAAAATGATTAGGTATAAATGAGTAAGTATGCAGCACTACCCAATAATTTGATCTTTTGGGTAAATGGGTAAGCGTTTACCCGTTACAGATATCAGACCTAATCTTTGAGGTACCACGCAAAGCACCCGGCCTAAAAGGTATCCTGGTGAGCCACTCGGATAAGTAGGGTGGTCCGACCCCAACGATGACATTGCAAGTTCGAGCAAGAGTGTTCATAAAGTTTTTTCGACTATTCATAATTTTTTCGACACTTCTATGTCGATGGAACTGATCCAAAGACTAGACTCAAGTCGTAACCAACTTTGACACTTTTTGTTTGAATATATAAATCAGAAGTTGAGAGATTTGGTCCAACTTTTTTAAAGAACAATAATAGTAATAATAACACTCCCATCTTTTATCTTTTCTAAGCCAAAGTTGGTTAAATTACTCTATACGTGAAGAAATATGATGTAGGACAGACAGATTTAGTAGTTTTCATTAAGTAAGTTTGCTTATATTTTATTTTATAATTTTTTTAGAAAGTATAATTTTAGGTAATTTCGCTATGATTTTAGTTTTCTTTCCTTATTTTATAAAGATGTTCCCGATGGGCTTTATAATATGTGTATTGTTGAATTTTTACAAGTAGTTTATATATATATATATATATATATATATATTTGTGAACTTTCATACCTAGTTAAAATAATTGGCTTATCATCATGAAGAGAAGTCGGTTAACAGATATTAATAGTAGGTCAAGAAATCATGACTACTCATGCGAAGAAGCAGCCATCATGCCTTTGTCTTGCCTTCCCCAGTATCTCCTCCTTGATGAAATACTCACAAAACTGCCCGTCAAGTCTGTTACAATTCAGGTGTGTGTCGAAGTCATGGCGCTCTTTGATCTCCGATCCCCACTTCATTAGAACTCACCTCAATCAATCACTCTCAAAATCCAACATCCAAACACAGCGGATACTCATAGCTAGTCTCAACCGCCCGTTCCGTTTTTACGCCGGATCAGCCGGTAATGACCACATTGCAGAATCGAAGATTGATTTTTTAGTTCAGTACAATCCTCCTCGTAAGTGGCAAATTGTTGGTTCTTGCAATGGGTTGATATGCATGGTGGCAAATTATGGACATAAATATATATGCAATCCTTCGATGTATGTACTAGAAAGATTCATATATGTATTCAATCCTTCAACGAGAGAGTCCAAGCAAATACCGAATTTCAATCCCGCGGATGACATAGTTGGATTCGGCTATGACCATTGTTCTGATGATTACAAACTGGTGAAAATACACAACAATAGCGTCTATGCGTATTCCCTGAGAATTTGTTCATGGAGAAAAGTTCATGACTTTACTTATAAGTGCAGTATCAATGTTTATGAGAGTGGGACACAGCTGAATGGAGCCCTTCATTGGCTTTGTTTGGACGATAAAGGGCATCCATTAGAGATTGCTATTTTTAGTTTGGAGGATGAGAAAGTGTGGAAGATTCCCATGCCTACTTCCTTCACCGATGCGGATGAAGCATACGAATTGGGGGTGTTTGAAGGATGCCTTTGTATACTACCATGGTTTGGTGATGCATACACATACTGGGCTATGAAGGAATATGGGGTGAACCAGTCTTGGACTAAACTAGTAACTAGAGTCCCATTTGATGATACCTTCAAGCCACTGGTATTGTTGGGGAATGATGTAGCTCTGTTGTGGATAGACTACAAAAAGTTAGTTTTATACAACACAAAAGAGGAAACATATAGGGATCTTATGATAGATGACGACATCGAAGGTTCTTATACAACCATCTATGTAGAGAGTCTCGTATCACCGGTCATGAAAATGTGATGAGAGTTGAAATTTACTCATTCATGTTCCATTCTCTCATTAACAGCTGTTTAACCTATTGGACAGCTTTCTTTCTATTCTCTGTTGTATATATTGTCTTAAAGTTTAGTTTAGTTAGATTTTAGAAAAGATCAAATTGGAGGTTTTTGCATTTTAAGAGGTAGGGGTTTCTAATTCCCAATTTCTTGTTCCTTTGTGAATATTTCTTCAATATTTTGTTGTCAAGCATACTTAATTTGAGTTGATTGCCTTTAAAATGATATAATTGTTGTGTGTGAAATCTATAATTATGTGTATTAGTTGATTTGTATGAAAAACATGTCTAAGTGTTAAATTTCCATGCCTATGGTGTTTTTTTTTTTTTTTTTCCTAAATGAAAGAATTTTATAAATTTGAACAATATAATACATGAAGAAAAAATAAGGGCATACCTTTACTATTCAAACCACAGCCTTACCATAGAAGACCAATCAAAAATAATGCTAAATGAAAAAATAGAAATTACAAGACATCCTGAAGGGATACCCCCAAAACATCAAGAACCTCCCAAATAACACAATTAGCTAACTCCAAAGACACTCTACATCTATCACAATGAACTCTCTCATCTCTTTCTTTCCATATGAAATATAAGCCTGCCGTAAATAGCATCCGACCCAATTTATTCTTCTTCCCTTGAGATTTTTGTTGAAAAATCGTAACCATTTCCTGCACTTCAAACACTTGCTGCAAATGCCAACCAAAAATTTCTGTTATGTAATACAACATTGCCCAAGTATAAGAACAACTACAAAAAAGATGATCCAATGTTTCTACATTTTCCAAACATAGATAACATCTGGAGACAACAGAAATTCCTTTTCACTGCAAATATGAATGAGTAAGAACAATTTTCTGCAACACCATAACTGTAAGAATGGACCATCTCAATCTCCCTCCATTCCAACACAAATTCGCCCCAGCTAACCATTGGATTTGAAATTCTGCAGGCCTCCCAAGCAGCTTTAAAACTGAAATTAGAAACCCATTTAATTTGGTTTTCACCCCCACCAATTCTGTGAGAATGAAAAACCTGAATAAGCTCTCAAGTCATATTCATTAACAACTCATCATTCCACTGTCCCACTGTAATGAAATCACATAAGTTACTCTATTTGTTCCTACATAGAGAGCTTAATACCCTATAAGTAAACAGCTCACCTAAACACTTTCCATCACACCATGGGTCCAAAAACAACTTTATATGCAGCCCATTACCAATTTTATATATGTAATTCTCCTTGATAACATCTCTGACAGCAACCAAGCTTCTCCAAATCGATGAATCAGTATCCCTCTGAATAATATTCCAAAAGGATGAGTTTTTTAAATACTTCTTCTTGAACCAAGCCACCCATATTCTATCTTTTGACAACAAAAAATCCCAGGTCAGACAACACTTAGAAGCCTTATCAATTTCCACCAATCTTCTCAGACCCATACCCCATTCCTCTTTAGGAGCAGCAAGCTTAATCCATCTCAAACCATGCAATTTTTTCCTATCGTCCACATGTCCCCAAATAAAATTCCTCATTCTCCTCTCAATTAAATTGACAACCACAGCAGGAAGTGTATACACAGATGTCCAATAAAGCACCAAAGGCAATATACAAGCTCTGACCAGTTCCACTTTACCAGCCATAGAGATATATAATCCATTCCATCTAGTTGTAAGGGAGAATACTTTATCAATCAATTTAATGCAATCCCTACTTCGCAATATTTTATCTGAAATTGGTAAACCAAGATAGGTAAACGAAAATTTCCCAACCTTGCACCCCAGAGCTCTAACAATAATGGATCTTCTTTTGACAGAATCAGTTAAAAACACTTCTGATTTCTCCTTACTATCTGCTAATCCTGAAGTATTTTCAAACTGAACTAAAAGTTTCTTTAAAGTCAATACAGTTGCCATGTTAGCTCTCACAACTATAAGCAAGTCATCAGCAAAAAACTGATGAGTAACAGGAATACCAGCTTGCATTGCAGCTTCAGTAGGAAAAACCTTACCACTTATCACCTCAGCTTCCATCATCCCTGAAAAATACTCTGTGACAAGAGTAAAAAACAAAGGAGACAATAAACAACCTTGCCTTAACCCTCTCTGCAGTTGGAAGTAACCATATGAACATACTTTAGAAAGGTAAGAGAGTCTATGAGTACATTTCGGAGGTTTTAAATTAAGCTTTTAGGAAGATTCTAGTTCAAGTTTCTTGGAATAGGTTTAACTTTTAAGGCTTATTAGTGTTTTTCAAGTCTGGCCAACTTGAACCGGTTCAAGCACCCTGAACCGATTCAAGTGTCAAAGGTGTTTCTCAAATTTCACTACTGGCCAACTTGAACTGGTTCAAGTGTTAATGTTTCTATTCTTTGAAAAACTTATTGCCAACTTAAACTGGTTCAAGCACCATGAACCGGTTTAAGGTCTTTTTGGTAACTTTATTTCCTGGTCTGTTTTGGCTTTCTATTTTTAATAGACTTTTACCATATTAATTATGCACGAAATAAACTTTTTCCCAAATACAATTAAGTTTTCAGAAGTCTATAAATATATGTTTTTTCTCTTAAATTTCAAGGGCTTGAAAATATATAATTTTCTAATTGAGAGAATTGTTTGAGAGATATTTTTATTCAGAAAATCAAATCTGATTTTTCTGATTTTATTTTTTAGAGCACACACATATACACACGAGTGATTTAGGAGTGGTGTTCTCTATCTGATTGGAATTGAAGTATAATGGAAGATTCAGAGACTCCGAGAAACATGATTTTAATTATTCTTCATCAAATTCAGAACTGGAGAAAATGGGCGATTCAATCACACTTTGAAAGGATCAAAGAATCCATGGAGTATTGTTTGATCTACCAGCAATCCTTCTATAAAGATCAAGAGTAAGCCTGAGGTCAAAATCCATTGGATGGGGGAGTCGCAAAGCCAGGGAATTTCAACAATTGGTGTTTGGTAGAATGATAGGGTGTGAGCCTGAGTCAAAGTTCAGTGTAATTTGCTTCAAACATAGTGGGTCATTTTGCTCTGGAAGACATAGTCCACAAGGTTTTTCCCATAACGATTGGTTGATTTCCACCGATCAGGGTTTCCTCGCCAAAATCCCAGTGTCATTTCTCAAACTTTATTTACTTTACTTGCATTGTCTTTTTGTTTTTTTGCTTTGTGGGTTTGATTTTAGTTTTATTTTGGTAAAATTAAAATAGGTAAAAATTGGATAAAAGAGCAACTAAAACCTATTCACCACCCTTCTAGGTTACTTTTAATACAAAATTTTCACATCCTATTCTGCTGCACAACTCACAATTGGTATCAAAGCAGTCCTCTACATATTGAGTTGATCCTTGTGGAAGTTTTTTTTTAAATAAAGTTATTTTTGTTTTAAAAAAATCATAATGGAAAATCCTATGAATAAAGGTGAATTGGATCTTGTTTTTTATGGTTCAAGCTCTAATGAGGAACTTTCTCGTTTATTTAAAAGATATGGAAGACTCCTAAAAAATATAAAGAATAAAAATTGTATTAAAGGAGATCTTTCTAAATTGAAGATAAGAAAAATAAGAAAGATGCTTCTATTTCTTTTGTTGCTCATATTGATGATGATACTGCTAATGATTCTTCTTTTTGTACAAGAGATCTTAACAAATATGAGTTATTGAGTAAGGATTTTAAAAAGCAATCTAAAAACTTGAGAGAAGTAGAAAGTCTAAAGGATGCTTTGAAAAATGAAAGAGATGCCTTGAAGAAAGAAAATGAGCAAAATAATAATAATAATAATAATAATAATAATAATAATAATAATGAAGAGAACAAATCTGAAATTCAAAATCTTCATGCAAAGTAAAATTCCTTAAAGGAAAGGTAAGTCAAATTAATTCTGCTAAAGAATCTGGCAAATTTAATTAATTTTCTTGAGCTTGAATTGAAAAAATCACAAGAGAAATTAATTGCTTTTACTTCTAGCCAGATTAAGCTTTATAAGATGATTAGTGTTGGTAAGCATGTAGGTGATAAGACTATATTAGGTTTTGATGATGCTTCAACTAATAAAAAGGGTCAAACTACTTTTGTTAAACCCAAGAACTTGAGTGTGCCTGTTGTTGTGCCTAAATCTTGTGTTGGGTCTTTGCATGTTAAGAGTGTGTCCAAAGTGCTTTATTGTTCTTATTGTGGTAGAACAGGACATAGTCAACAATTTTGTTATAAAAAAGAGAAAAAAATTCTTTTTCTGGGTTTCATGATCATAATTCATTTGCACATAGTATGTTTCATGCTAGAAAGCAAAATAGTTGTAATAAACCTATCAATTTTCATGCTAAAAGGAATTCACATAAAAAAATAATAATAATAATAATAAAAGTGGCTTTTCTTGATGTTCCTCAAAAATCTCTTCAAAAGTTGAAGATGAAAAGTTGTTTGGGTAAAGAAAGAGGATTTGAAATTGTATGTGCCTATTGATGCTATATATGGAATTTGTTTCTAATAGGTAATTGGATGCAAAACCCCCAGTGTAAATCCTAAAAAGTTTTTGTGGTCATGGATTGTGTTTTGATTTCAATTCTGTATCCATTGGACAGTTTCTTATAGTTTAGGATTTTGGTTTTATTTTGTGGTCATGGATTTCAATTTTGTGTTTTCATTGAGAATGAAAATATCATGTTTCTCTTTATTTTATATGAGTGATATTTATTTCACTTAAATTCACTATATTTTTATGAATGCAAATTGGGACACGTGATTATTTGATGAATAAAGTTCTTGATGTGTAATCTATACTTGTGAAGATCAATTTGCTATGGTTATTTATTTTTAGAGATGAGTCTCTTGAGTTCATATTTTTTTCATGTGCACTAGTCCAATTCTGAGAAATTTAATTGAAAATCATTGAGAAGTTGACTAGGTCATATTGCTCATTAAAGTTATTATTTTTAAAAATAAAATAAAAAATAGAGAA